ACTTTAGCAGAAGAACTGCTAATGGGTGAGACTGTCAGATAAGTTTTCCTGGAAGTTAAGTTCAAATCACTGGCTGCTCTTACCAGCTAGAAACGCAGTGTAAACACCACCTCAGAAATTTCACGTGCACCAGAAAGTGGGCCACCTCTTATCAAGAAAATTATCAAGTAAAGTAAGCTAAAAAGCTAACGGTTTGATTTGGTTTGCACGGGAAGCAAGGAGCAAGAACCTGGGCTGAGTCTTAAGTCTCTAGACTCCTTTGTGGGATAGACATTCTCTAAATGTTTACCTAATGTTTATAGATCTTTTTTAGACATTGGGGATGTAAAGGTGAACAAGACATCAGGGAGTCCTGGTCTGGTAAGAATGGTACCCACCTCCTCCTCACCCCATCCCCTCTTCTCTCCATGTTTCAGAGGCCATTGGTCTCTAGCACTAGAGCTTAAGTGATCTCTTAATTCAGCTTCACTGGTGGTTGGCATGATAAGGAGACTGCTGTAGGCAAAGTTTTCAACAAATCTTTTGTTATCTTGTTCTGCTGTTGGACCCTGGAAATTAATGGAAAAGCCAGCTTGTGTGTAGAGGGCCAAAGGACAACTTCAGGTGCCGTTCACACAGAGGAATTTTAGAGCAGAACCTAAGTAGCATGATTTCTAATTGATCTTAATAATAAAAACCCGGAGTCAGATATCGAGGTAAATGCTGAAAGATCAGAGAAGAAGCCAGCCACTAAAGTTCTTACCACCACACAATCCTCAGAACCAAAAAGGCAAGATCCTGTCGCTACAAATCTTAACACTGAATGAAATGCTCTTCAGTCTCCTGCCTTCTATTCCTCTCTCCACCCAGCCACATCCCTTCCTGTCCCCACCTTCCCAGCATGGGATTAAAGGCATGTGACTCCTAAGAACTGGGATTAAAGATGTGAGCCATCCCTGCCTAGCTCTGTTTCTCTTTTGGACAGGATCAATCTCAGGTAGCCCAAGGTGGCCTTGAACTCACAAGAGGAGATTTCCCCTTCCCAGTGTCTGGGTAAAGGTGTGCCACTGCCTGGCCTCTATAACTAACTGGTGGCTAGCTCCACACTCTGATCTTCGGACAAGCTTTATTTGTTAGATTACAAACAAAATATCAACATAACCACATCATTGCATGATGATACTGAAGAGGAGGGGCCCAAGGTAATTAATTAATTAGAAAACCAGCCTTAGTTTATCTAGATGATAGCCATTCTCAAGGCTATGCAGAAGTTTCCTATGAAGGAATCCCCTCATCTCTCTGTACCTCTCTATCTACCCTCCAAAATCTCTATGTTAATTTTAGTCAGCCAGTCGTTGACTCCGCCCCATGATTCAAGGTTTAACTTTATTAGCAGTTTCGGATTGTCAGTGTGAACAAATATCCCAGAACAAAGCTTTAAGCCTGGGCATGCCTGACTCAGTTTATCCTTTTTTGTACACTAAGCTTATTTCCTCTTATTATTGTTCCTACACGGTAGTCATTATAGCAGTGGGAAATGTTAAAAATCCAGTGGAATCTCTTCTAGCAGGTCAACTTATGATTTGTCTCCTCAACTTCTTATTTAAAATATGTACATGTTATTCTTCCAGTACAGGTAACTGTATATGTATTTTTTCATTTATATATACTATCAATTCCACAAGCTTTGCAAGTAAATTACATAGTAAACGTTGAGTCTCCCAGTTGTAATGGGAAAGCTGCCTAAGGCAGTACATAAACCCATGAATAGAACTGTGTTCCAGTAAAACCATCTGCATAAATGTAACAAGCCAGAGTTGGTCCTGAGTAGTAGTTTGCTGGCCTGGGATCTAAATAGTTCATGAAATAATAATTTTACTGTACACAGTTTTTAGCCTATTACAAGTAATTCTGTGATTACGCCCGTTTCTACCTTTTATGTTTTTATCCTTATAAGTGTCTGGAAATGAAGTTGTGATTCAGAGTTTATGGCTCGTTTATATCTCTGAACAAATTGTCAGATGTCTTTTTGGAACCATTTCAGGTGCTCAGGTGCTAGAGAGATGGCTCAATGGTTAACAGCCTGCACTGCTCTTCCAGAAGCCCCACATTGGGTTCCCAGTGCCCACTGTGGTGCATCTCACAACAGCCTGTAACTCTAGTTACAGGTCGATATAATCTGATGCACCCTACGGGACTCCATAGGTACTGCACTCAGGTGCACACATGCTAGTGCACACACACAGTGTTCTGCTGTTTGTATCGCTGGTGCTGGTGTCCCTATGCCTTATACAAAGATTCTAGACAACAACTCTGTACCTCAGGTCATAGACATATTTGTAGTAAAGAAGACATTAAATCTCTAATTTGAACTTAAATATCAAGTAATTGAAATTTATTTAAAATACTTGGTGGAACTTCACCCGACTTCTACTACAAGAACTTACTATTCATAAAGTTAGTTTTAAAGCAGCAATAGACATTTCTGTACTGATAAGTTTAAATCTATCTGAATAGAAAAGTCTCCATTCCTTTGCCTTCGATTTCATGCTTCCTTTGTTAAAGTGACCCTTGAAAAAAATTTACCTTGTTTCGGGAGGACAGGATGTAAGTGTTGCAAATTCCCGATGAAAAATATATTAAAAAATGATAAAGTATAGCTAAAGCATATAATCTACATTTGCTGTTAAATTTCTGATAAGGAATAAAGGGGGGAGATTCCTACCTTTATCTTTTAAAAATCAAATTTTGATTTTATAAATTATTTGAGAACAGACTTTGATGTCTATACAGATAAATAGATAGCTAAAACTGCCCTAGATATGTGAGGGGATTCTGCTGGACATCAAGATCTTTACCTCTAAACTTTACTCCCAGGCCCTCTCTGACAGTTTGAATTTTTAATTTCTAAAGAAGGCATTAATCTATGCTCGCATCTTGAAATGAGAGTCTTGAATTTAATTGAGTATAAATTTCGTAGCATGATGCTTCTTAATGGTCTGCACTTCTGTTTGGATCTAGGTTTGTGCTAGACTTTTGCTGATTTGTACTTTTATTAATCTTAGGTTATAAAATATCAAATTTTCCTGGACATTATATGTGACATTGGTGAACCTGCTTATCATCATAATTTAACTTATATTTCATGCTTAAGTATTTCAAATACCTAACAAGTTACAGTTATAAATCTAGCCAAGGAAATCATTCTAAACACTTACATATTGCTTATAAAATTGCAGATTTAACAGTCAGATTCCCTAAAGCATTTAAACGTAGGTTACAGCCAACATTTTACAAGTCTAAGGGCAGGAAGTGTAGCTCACTGGCAGAGAGCTTATCTATCATGTCCAAGACCTCAGGTTTAATCCTCAACACTGCAAATTGTAAATAAGTAAATGAATTAAAATTTATGACTAGCTGGGCATGGTTGCACATGCCTTTAATCCCTGTTTCCTGAGGCCAAAGTAAACTAGTCTCTGAGTTTGAGGACAGCCTGGTCCACCTAGCAAGTTCCAGAGCAGGCAAGGCTACAGAGTGAGACTGTGTCTCAATGAAGCAAAAAAACAAAATGTATTTCTAATATATAAGAAGACTTCAAAACAGGAAAAGTTACTCTTTGATAAAATGTGTGAATACACATACTTTGACATTGTTAATGATAGAAATTTTATTATTTTTTAAATTATTTCCATACTTTTTTGTTGTTTGTTTGTTTGTTTGGAGACAGGGTTTCTCTGTGGCTATCCTGGAACTTTGTAGACCATACTGGCCCTGAACTCTCAGAAATCCACCTGCCTCTGCCTCTCAAGTGCTTGGATTAAAGACATGCGCCACTACCTGGTTTCTATTCTTTATTTCGTGTCTTTCCTTGGGCTGTAGGGCCACGCAATAGTAAATATAATTTATTCAGTGTGTCCTGGCTTCTGTAGATACACATTACATAATCTTCTAGTGCCCAATTTACTGTGCTCGAAAAAATTTTAATTTAAATTCGTACATGCTTGCCTGGTTGGTTCCTTATTAATAATCGAAATGTTTGTATGCCCGTTTTTCAATAAAACACTTATTTGTCCATTTTTAATTTTATTGTGGACTTAAGAGTTTCTTCTGAATTTTTCATTTATATATATATATATTTTTTGAACTGTACTGTGTCTGCCTTTTTAAATTTTGAGATGGTTGAACCTATCAATTTGATTTGAGTTGATAAGTGCCTGTGTTAGTTTAAAAAAATACCTCAGAATATAATTGTGAGGACATTCTGGAGGTGGTTAAGGTGGGGGGGAAATCATCATGCATGTGGGTAGCAGTGTCCCACTGGCTTAAAGCATTGACCCCAATGGAATGTGAGAAGGGAGAGCCTACAGCTGCAGCCTCTTCTTTGCTTTCTCTCTACCATGATATGTGCAGCTCTGTTTTGCATCCTTCCTTTCTGTGTTGGACCATGAACCAAGTAAAGAATTCTTCCATGAACCTCCCTTAAACTGCCTCATGTTAAGTATTCTTTCACAAGAGCAAACTAACTGTCTCCTTGGTTTCATTACCATTACTACAGGCTTATCTGATTATTATGCTTTCTGCCAACAGTTCAAAGGCAAGATGCTGATTCTTTGCTTCCAGGGACTCTTTGTCTTGTTATGTGTGTGTGTGTGTGTGTGTGTGTGTGTGTGCGTGAGACTGGGTATTTTGATTGAAGACATGTTTGTAACATGAGGGGCCGGCTTGTTGGGGTTTCTGTCCCTCCCAGTACCCCACAGCCAGCAAGCCCCAGAGAAAAATCACACAAAGTCTACATTAGGTTATAAAACTGATTGGCCCATTAGGTCAGGCTACTTATTAGTTCTTATGACTTATGTTACCCCATTATCCTTGTCTACCTTAGCCACACAGCTCAGTACCTTTCTCAGCTGGGCAGTTTACATCTTTCCTCTCTGGTGGTCTGGGCAGAACTCGCAGAGGAAGCTTCCTGCTTCCCAGAATTCTCCTGTTCTCATTGCATCACCTCTACTTCCTGTCTGGTTTTCCCGCCTATACTTCCTGCCTGGCCAATCAGCGTTTTATTAAAATACATGATTGACAGAATACAGATAATTCTCCCACACCACATGTTTGTGCGCCATGTGTATGCCTAATGTCTGTGGAGGCCAGAAGAGGTTATGGATCTCCCTGTACTAGAATTCCAACCTGGTTCTGAGAGTCTGGGTCCTCTGAAAGAGCAGTAAGTACTCTTATTCATTGAATTGACTCTCCAACTTCTTCCTTTTGGGTTTTTGTGGGGTTTGTTTTTAATGGAGGGTAGGATTGGAAAATAAAGACTAAACTAAGATTATCACTAATAACATGATACTGCTTTTAGGTCACCATGATGACAGAAGTGAAGAAATACTTTCTAAAGACTATAGCTTTATAGTAATCTTTTTAGTTTAGTCTAATTGGGTTGAAGTAGTAAGATATTTTACGTGAACTTTCAAAATCATTGTTTATGTGCATAAACCTATACATCCAGTAATTTAAGTAACAAAACAGTGTCCTTACTCCATACCAAACAGTGTCTATTTAGAAGTTAATTTATTTCCTCTGATGTTGAATTTCATGTGTTCTTTGGTCCTAGACAGATGACTAACAGGTACAAAGTGTCTCATATCAGACCCCCTTTGATGCCTTGAGTCAGTGTGTAGTCTGTGGTGATATTTCCTGCATTACATTATAGCTTGTGATCAAATATTCAGAAATTTATTTGGAAGCCACCTGTATAGCCTGTATGTATCTTGGGATTTTTGTTGCTCAATGAGAATGGGGGCATGGAGAATTTAATAGAAGTCACAGCTCTGTGTATTTCGTCTTCAGTATGTGCAGTAAAAGAACAGAATAGGGTGATCAGCAAGTAGTAAAATGCTGAAGCTCCCTGATTTATATGACATTATTACCGTCAGATTAATTGGTGATTGAAGTGGCTCAGCTGATGCTAATATTAACTATGATGATTAACCGTGATTAGCAGTGTGATTTGATTGAGAGATGCCTGGGAGAGATTAACAAAGCACACCTGAATGTGTCTGTGAGGCGGTGCCCAGGGACAGTTAAACCAGCAGGGCTTCACCCTAACAGTGGAGGTGGAAATTGAAGAAGGAAGCTGGTGAGAGTAAGTAGATGGCTTACTGGGACTGTCACTGGAGGGCCTGTCGTGTACCTTTGCTTCTTGGCTCATGGAGGAGCAAATCATGAGTGAAAATAAATCGTCCCTTGAGTTGTTTTTGTTTTGGTGTTTTGTCCTAGTGACAAAATAAATGGCTAAAAGCCTGTCTTTCCTCGTTTAAACTCTTAATTTATACTGTGCAGAAGGGCTTCCCTGATGATCTCGTTTTCTTGTGAGCTCTGAGACTATTGGTATAATCCCAAGAACCCCATAATGACCTCACAAACTTCTTTTATTTTTAATAGTTCTCTCTCTTTCTCGATGAAGGCTTTTTGAGACAGGATTTCTTTGTGTAGCCTTGGCTGTCCTGTAACTGGACTGGCCTTCAACTCACAGAGATCTGCCTGCCTCTGCTTCCCAAGTGCTGGCATTAATGATGTGCACCACCACTGCCTAGCAGATAGTTCTCTTCTTGTACTGCCAACATTTCTCATTTTGGGAAAATAAAAATAAAACATTTAGAAATTACTCCAGTCTGATGGTTGAATGTTTCTTTTCAGATATACTTTTGACATCATGGATCGATTTGGAGATATATCAGAAGGTGAAGTGGACCATTCTTTCTTTGACAGTGATTTTGAAGATGCAAAAAAGTGTGACAATAATTTAGTTTTTGACAAGCAAAATGATGACCTTAAGGAAAGAATAGATAAGGACACCAAAAATGTAAACTTGAAATTTGAAATGCAAAATGATGACCTTAAAGAGAGAATAGATAATGATACAGAAAATGTGAACTTGGACCTTGGAATCCAAACAAAAGAAAATTATCTTACTCAGAAAGGAAATGAAAGAAATGCAAAAGTTTCCTCAAAGGAATACCATGTAGAAAATGATCCTACACAATCAAGAAGTTCCTCGTTGTCAACCGCTTCTTCAAGATCAAAAAAATCGTGTGATGATGCAAAAGGACATAAATTACCCTTGCCTGTTGCAAATAGAATTCCTAAAATTGTAAAAGGTGAGGATGATTACTACACAGATGGAGAGGAAAGCAGTGACGATGGGAAAAAATTCAATGTGAGGGCCAAGTCAGCTAAGCCCTCTAACAACTTCAAAAAAAACGCAAATAAAAAGTATTCCAAAATCAGTTCCTCCTCTTCTTTGTCTTCCTCATCTTCAAGGTCAAGTTCAGACTGCTCAGATACAGGATCCGAAACCCATAAATCTGATTCACGCTCATCATCAAGGAAACATGCTTCTGCTGTAACCCTCTCATTACCAAAAGAGAGGTGTAAATCAGGAAGAAAATCAACGAGTATACAGCCTGCAAGTGCTAAACCAAAAGCTGGTAACTACAATGAGGAATCAGAGGATGTTGTAACAGACGTAACTCCTTTGTCAACTCCAGACATCAGCCCTGGCCAGTCGTTTGAACTGGGCCCATCACATGATCAGAAAGTAAAAGTTAAAAGGCAAGAAAATGTGAGCCGGGATGTGTATGAGAATGTGGAGGCTTTAAAACATGAGCCTAGACCTCTGAAATCAGCCAGAAGGAAAGAAAAGCACGGGCAGAATTTTGCTCCAAAATCATCAGTGTTGGATGCAAATCTAGACCATAGATCCAAACAGAAAGTCTTACATGACACCATGGACCTTAATCATCTGCTGAAAGGTAATTTTTGAAATTCTGTATATTAAGTTTGAATATTAGAAACTAAATATATATATATGCTATAAATGTGCATGGATTTTTGTAGTCAATATTTTGAGATGATTGACATTTTAATAACTTGCCAGATATATTCCATTATGTCATAAAATGCTTTGAATATTATTTGAATTGTCAGATAATTGCGAAGATAATCAATTAGGTCCAGAAATTTGGACTAGTTTTTAATTCCTCTCAAACTCAATGCTACTCCTCTGAGGCGGTTCTGTCTTTATTCTTGAACTAGCTAGCAGTAAGCATCTGCCTTGGTTTACACCATTCACCTTCAGACATGACGGTGTCCAGAGAAACACTTACTCTAGCTCTTGGAGTGCAAGAACCTTGTTAAGAAGGATCTCCAAACAACGCCCACTTAGTTCTGTTTCCACAAATTGGCTTAGTTACACTCTTCATTCCTGAACCTGTCATTGACCAGGGGAGAGATACCTGAAGCCAATCACACTCCTGCTGGAGTTAGGGCTGGCAACTGGAAGGCCCCAGGTCAATTATGGAGGAAGGTAGAAAGAGGTGCAAATTGGGGCAATTAGGTTTGTTCACTGCAGTTCCTTGGACTTCAGGGTGTGTATAGATCACCCTAGAGTCTCATTCAAATGCATATGGTAAAAGTAGAACCCAGACAGCTAAACAATTAACCCTGCCAGTGCTGATTGCATTTCTACTTCCTGGAGAACCATAGTTCCGGTCTGTTTTCTCCGTGCATACTGTGTTGTGTGTGACAACAGATACAGTGATGAACAAGAGCTAGAGAGGTGGCTCAGTGATTAAGAGCACTTGCTGCTCTTGCCAGAGGACCTAGGTTTGGTTCCCAACACACCCATGATTATTTGTTCATAACCATCTCTATCTACAGTTCCAGGGATCCAACACCATCTTCTGGCCTTGTTGGGCACTGCATATACGTGGCGCATGTACATACATTGTGGGCAAACACCCATACATATAAAAATAAAAAACCTTGAAAAAATAGATACAGCATCCTTCTTACCATCTAAACTCTTTCTAAAACTTAGCTGGATGATAAGAATCTATCTATCTATCTATCTATCTATATATATATATATATATTTATAGTTTTTACGTAAGAACAATGATTACTATCCCCCAATTCCTGAACACTTTCCACAATTACAGTTAAAATATCATGGAAAATTTTCAGTATGAAATGAGGAAGCAAGCCCTGCTGTAAGAAATTTGCAGTAGCTCTTCTGGCCTTTTGTTGTTGTGACAGGGTCTGTACAGCCCAGGCTGACTTTGAGCATTTATGATCCTCCTACTTCTGAATTCTGAGGGTTGGTGTTAAAGTCTTGTAACAAAGGCAGAGAAACAAAGGGGACATTTTGCTAAGTAGCATATTTACAGGTGGACTCCATAGTCCTCCAGGGAAGTCTTTATAGTAAAGCATTTCAAACTATTTTTCAGTTGTATAAGATACATCTTTAGTTTTCCAAAATTATTATTCATGCTCAGTTTACAGCATGAAGCTTTTCAGAGCCTCAAAACTTTTCTGTATTTTTCTACCATGCGCCTAAACCTTGGGCTTGATCCAGTTGATCCTCACTTGTGTCTTCCTTTGTTTATCTCATAATATACTCCATCACTTTCATGTTCCCCAGATGGGCTTTTCTAGGCTGCTTTGGCTCATCTGTTTATTCCACAGCATTCACTGCTTGCAAGTGTAGGGAAGATGATCACGCCAATGCATAACGTGTTTAAAATCTTCTAGTTGAACATGATCCTGTCAGCAAACAGCTGAGGCTGGAGTTCAGCACACTGTGTCCTCCCAATGTAAACATTTTCAAGAGAAGAACTTAGCATTTCCTGTAATAAGTTTTGAGTAAAAAAATTTCACAGATTACCATGTAGCAAACAGTGTAAAATAGTGGTTTATAAGATTGTTGCTTACTGAACATAAGTAGATATTAATAAAGATTAATAAAAGGGTTTAAGCCAATATCCCAGAGTAGTCAGTAGAATGGTTAAACAGTATTGAATTTGGCACTTAGTGAAGTAGATGAGATTCTGGGAATTGAAGCATAAAGCTTTAGGCTTTGGTGTTATTGACATGTTCATGAACTAAACAGTAACCCTGTATAGGTAGTGGTACTTGATATAATTGCTCGAGTCTAGTCTAGACTGAGAGTTGTGTTCACTGAGAACTAATAGATCAGTGTAGCCTGGTACTAGAAACATAGTTTTAACACACCTTGAAAGATTAGTACAATTTCAGCTCTATAAGGAGGTTCACTTGGGGAATTCCCATTCCCCACAATGTCCAAAGACTATCTTGGAATTAGATATTTAACCTTGAACTTGACTAGGCATTGAGGGACTTAGAAAATGGAGTAGTAAACACATTTTGATATGAGGTTATATCATGAGTCTGATATATTTGGTAAGCATTTAAGGAGTTGAATGAACTGGATTAAAGATACATTTCATACTTCATGTATATAAAATTGGATCACTTTTGAAGGACTCTGAAAGGGCAAAGTAAAAACATTTTAGAAATTTGTGACTTTAAACTTTATCTCTACTTTTGAGAAGGAAATTATAAGGGGAAGAATTGAGACTAAGGAAGCATTGATAAGTGAAGAAACCGGTTATAGTTTGTTTTTCACTAAGCTATCTGTGTGAGTATTATGGAGGGGATTAAGGGAAATGCTCTACAGACCCATTGCTGTCCATGAGAGAGGAGGCCTGTTCTGATGCGATCAGCTTCCAGCACACCTTGCCTGGCAGTACAGTTTCATCTCTTCGTTATGGGCAGATTGGCATTGTGAATACCTCAGACACATTACCTTATATTACCAAGCATTTGAGAAAAGCCGAAGGCAAAAGAGGGCCTAGATCATTATGATACATCTATTACTGAGAATTGATTCATTTTTAAGCAAGGCTAATGATTTTTTAGAGATCTATGAGGACAAAGCTATTGTAACTAATAGAAGTAACCTTGCCTTGGCTTTATGCATTCTCGTTGAGAGGCTGCATAACAGTGACAGCACACAGTGCAGAAGCAGCAGTGAGAAATCAGCCATCTGTCGTAAGCTAGGCATTTAAAATGGATACAGCTGTTAAACTCTTCCACACACTTTTTTATTAAAAAAAATAAATTCTATGTATGCATTAATGTATGTGTGTGTACCAGCGTGTGTATGTATAGGAGCACAGGTGTGCCAGAGCATGCGTGTATAGGTCAGAGGACAATTTGTGGGAGTCAGTTCACTTCTTCTACTGTGTGGGTCCAGTGGACCAAACCCAGTTTTTCAGGCTCAGCATCAGGGGCCTTTATCCTTCGTGCCATCTTACAGACCCTTTTTTTTTAATAGAAGTATTATGTTGACATTTAATTAGTTTATTGTTACTGACATGGGGATAGGTAAATATCTTTAGGGTTTTTTTTTGTACTTTTGAGTTTTTATATATTAAATATTGGTAGATATTAACCCATGGAGGTATTTGGATGCCTCAACCTTTAGGACCCAAAACAAAAAAGTTTAAGAACTCCTAAAGAAAAACAAATGGAACTAGAATTTATTAATGTAGTAGTCGTTATATTCTAAAGTTTGGAGAAAATCTTTGAGAAAATATTTTTAACTTACTCTTTTAAAAAAGAAAAAAATGGGACTGTACTTAAGCTGTAGGAAGGGAGGCTGAACAATATAAGTAAAAGATTGTAACTTAGAAGACATTGGGGTTGCGTTAAAAAATGAAATGAGGAATATTACTGAGTCTTGAAAAGGAAGCATTGTCTGGTCTGCTGCAGTGCGGATGAGGCTGGAGCAAGTGAAAGCTTAGGTGAAGTGAGTCTCAGAAAGACACACGCTGCGGGCTGGTAGCTCTATAAAGAGTTCAGGATCTCCCAGCCATCTAGAAAGCATGCATGGTGCTCTGTGCTGGAACAGTCAGCAAGGGGGAGAGAAACAAGAGGTTCCCTGGGGCTCACTGACCAGCCAGCCTACCTTAAACCAGTGAGCTCCAGACCTCAGCGAGAGAGCCTGTCTCAAAAAACCACTGTGGGGCAGCTCCTAATAAATGAGCCCACAGGTCTACCCTTTGCCTACACACGCACATGAACATGCACCCCTGCAGATGCGTGAGCACATACATACCCACACAGACAGTTCTTGTGATTCCTTTTATCCTAGTCAAAATCATGGAGACAGAATTGTCATTTCCAGGGTCTAGAAAAAAGGGACAAAGACTGGGGAGGGGGGGTTGTTGTTGTTTTTTACTTTTTTTTAAACTTTTTTATGATTATAAGTTCTAGTTTTCCAACATACAGCATTATAGAGAATGAGTTGTACTATCACTGAACAAACAGTACATCTAAATATAGCTTGCTAAATTTTGGACTTTTTCTGTTTTGCTACAGTCAAAAAGGGAAAACGCTAATTCTTTAGATAGTTTCTGTTATGGTAACTGTAATACTCAATAAATACCAGTTATACTGGAAGAGAATAAATCAACAAAAATTCAACCCAGAAGGTATTTAATAGTAATAGGAAGAATGAAAAAAGAAGTTTGAAAGAGATGTCAGGTATGTCTCCTTTAAAAAGAAGAAATAGAAGCATCAACCCTATTAGTATAAAAACAGATTTCAAATTGTGAAAAGTGCTAAAGGGGCAGAGGGGGTGTTTATATTAATCCATAAGCCAAGTACAATAAGTATAATATTGATATAGTAATATGTACATATGATACTAGCAAATTTTATATATGTAATTAAAGCAAAACAGAACTGGACAGTAAGTTGATAAAGATCAAGCTACCAAGGAGAACTCAAAATCAGACCAAATAAACAGAAAGTAGTTTTTAAAAGTGTAACTATGTATGTGGGCTGCCCTTGTTCACAGGTACTGGCTTTGGTATACATTTGTTTTTAATGCAAGAAAAGAAAAGAAGCAGTAAGTATTGCTACTGAAGAGATTACCCCAGTTCTTGTAAAATAGAGAGACTCAAAAGTAGGAGTGACTCGGTGCCTTGGGACAGAATTGCCTGAGTGCTTGTTTACCCACGGCAGGTACCTGGACTTGGACCAAACACAAGAACTCAGTCATAGTCTCTCTGTGGCTAGGTCTCCTCATAGAGGCCTAGCTTCTTCAAAGATGGTGGCCTCAGGATAATTAGACTTCTTGGTACTCAAGGGTCCAAGCAGTGTGTTCCAGAAAATAATACATAAGTCTCAGAACTATTTATGTCTTAGCTTCTAGTCATGTAGCATCCCTTTATGTTTGCTTGGTTTCTGTTAGATACAGTCTTAGTTTGAGACTTGACCAGCCTAAAACTTGCTATATAGATTGAGGCTAGCTTTGAATTTGTAGTGAGCCTCCTGTCTCTGCTGCCCAGTTGCTGGGATTATAAGCATGGATCACTATACCTTGTGTCGGTAGAAATGGTTGTAAACTTCTCAAACTTAAAAGTGTTTCTTAAGACACGGTCTCATGTAACCCGCTGTAGCTGAGGGAAGACTGTCTTCCCTCTGCCTCCTCAGAGCTAGGATTACAAGCATACACTACCATGCCAAAGTATTATGTGGTGCTAACCCATGAAACCAGGGTTTCAGGCACCCTAGACAAGTACCCTTACCTTCTGAGAAGCATCATCAACCTAGACCTACCTCTTAATGAGATAAATGTCAAATTATAGAAATAGCTTCAAAATCTTCACTACTACTTGTTTTTCCCATATATAAAATGCATTCCCTTTTCCAGTGGTCCAGGTCCAGGCAAGATTCCAGAGGTGTGGTTTAGTGAGTAAACTTTGGGTACCTTGAGCTTCTTCTATTGGGGGAGGTAAGGGATGTGTAATATTCTGAACCCTGTAAGTCCTGGCTCTTACATCGCTTCTATATTTTCTTTGAAAACTGATCAATTCCTGGTTTTAGATTTTATTTCTCTATCCTGTCTTATATGGATAATGTAAGCCATTGTATTTTCAATGTCCTGCTTGAACGTCTTAGCCCAAATCCACCAGTAGGGATTTTTCCCGTCTTCCTTGTCCCCGGAACAGTGCTGCTAAACAATCGATCAGTTCTTTCTGTGACTTCATATCAACAACCTTTTGTTGTAAGCAGATGTGTGGGTGTAACATGTGCATGCAAATCTCAGAGGAGTACAGAAGAGGGCTTGGATCCCCTAGAACTGGAGTTACAGATAGTTGTGAGCCCACAGCTGACAACCAGACCCATCCTGAAAAAGCAGCAAGTGCTCTGAAGAACGGAGCCGCCTCTCCAGCCCTAGTACCATCTTTCTCCAGGCTCCTCTGTCTCTGACTGCCGTCAGGTTTCATACCTCGAGCTATGAACATTGGGCTTGTCATAGTAGCATTTCATTTCCTTGTACTAAATATTGTATAGTCACTGTTGCTCTGATAACGTCACAAAACTCAAAGCTGAATGAAGCAACAACTCGGGTGTCTTAAATAATAGGATGGAAGTTTCTGTATGTGGCTTCCTTTTAATGATCTGGGGTCTCACGTATGACAACTTCAAGTTAGTATCAGGTATGTGTAGCTCTAGGCTCTAGGCACAAGTATTCCTGCAAACAAAGGGTGTGTGTGTGTGTTCTCATATCAGGGAGCTCACTTCCTCCTTCAGGGACTGTTACACTTCTGCTAGACTTTATGGGTACCTGCATGCATGTGGCAAACACACACATGTACATAAATAAAATTAATCTTGGGGGCTAGAGAGATGATTCAATGGCTAAGAGCTCTGACTGCTCTTTAAGAGTACAAGGGTTTGATTCCTAGCACCTGTACGGCAGCTCACAGCTATCTGTAACTTCAGTTCCAGAGAATCTGCCACTCTCTTCCAGCCTCCCAGGGTACCAGCCCTAACACCCATACTCATAAATAAAATTAAAAAAATAATAATAAAATGAATCTTTAAAAATTTATATTTAAAGATACACACAGAGAAACTGTCTCAAAAACCAAAGAAAGGAAAAAAATTTATATTTAAAATAAATTAAAACTTACCATTTTGACAGTACTCTGTTGGTCAGAGCTGTAAGAAGCCTACAGAAATCCAAAGGAGAGGAACACAAAATAATGTCATAAAATTTCTCATCTAACAAGTTCTAATTTGTTGAGGCAGATAGGGCTGGAGAGAAGGCCCAGCAGATCAGCACTAGCTGCCCTTCCAGCACCGCAGTCGTCTGTCATAGGGTCTGAGTATATGCATAAAATGTATATGCCTTTCTTAATCTTGTAAATTTGGGTCTGATATAAAATAGCTATAGGGTTTTTTTCTGTAGAGATCATGACTGTCTACAGAACAGATTTTTATTTTGATATTTTCAGATAGGTTCATGTGTTTCAGAGTAGCCTAGAACTCATTAGTAGCTGAGAATGGCCTTGAACTTCCAGCTCTTCTGCCTCCACCTCCCAGTGCTAGAATCAGATTGCACTACACCGTGTGCCACAATTCCCACCCAGTTTTGTGAGACGCTAGGAGTCAGGCCCAGAGCTATGTGTGCAGTTTGTGTGGCATTGCTTCTCAAAGGAAAATTCCGGAGAAAACTATTTGTAAATATGTAAGTTTAGATAGATGCATCTATATATCTATATTCCTTTTTTCCCACTTGCAATATTTATATTCCTTAAATAAGGAATTTGTTAAAACTTATTTTTAAATGTTTTTATTTGGAAGAATTGGATCATATTTTTGATGTCAGCATGGAGTCACTTTTTAAAAATGTCATAGTAATACCTGCTTTCAGTAAATAAGTGCCCTGTTTTGTGGTTCTCAGTGAAGGAAAAACTTAAATAGTGCCCTTTGGAGGCTGTTGTTTGATTGTTTAATGAGGTAAACTTTTTATTTATTTTTATTTTACTTTTAAAAAAGTGTCATTAGGAAATGTAGCTTAATTTCCTTTAGAATGAGATTCTAAAGAATTTTATATATATAGAATTTTATATATTGTGTGATGTTTTACTCTTTTGACTTTTGGGGGGCCTACCACCCAGCTCCCACATAAATCACACATGGAGACTTATTCTTTCTTATTTATGACTGGCCATAGCTTGGCTTGTTACTTGCCAGCTTTTCTTAAATTATCCCATCTACATTTTGCCTCTGGGCTTTTCCCTTTCTTCTGTGTGTCTTACTTTCACTCTTAGCATGTGGCTGGCGGAGGGGGGGGGGCTGGCCCCTGATGTCCTCCTCTCCTGTTCTCTTGCTCCTCCTCTCCCTCATTTCTCCTTTAATTTATTCTCTGTCTGCCAGCTCCACCTATCCTTGTTCCTGCCTTGCTATTGGCTGGTCAGATCTTTATTTGGACCATCAGGTGTTTTAGGCAAAGAATCACAGCTTCAGAGATAGCAAATGCAGCATAAACAAAATCACACACCTTAAAATAATATTTCTCAACATAGCTAAATTAATCTAGAAACCTTTTCAGATATAAACATAGGTATTGGAAGATAATTTGATATGTATAGTGTGTGTGAAACTTTCAGAACATGTGTCTATCACTCAAGTTTTGTCATTGGTGTGGTTTTCAGCTACCATTCACTAATTATCAACCATCAATTCCTTGGTTGTTCTTGAGGAAGCTACTGCTTTATCTGTTTTGTTTGTTTCTATAATCTTCAGTAGTCTTTGTAGTCTTTGGTATAAATAGAAGAAATAAAATTACTGCTTTTTTCTCACTTGCCCAAGTGATTGGATTAAACTCATTGTAAAATGGAGGTTAAAAATACCTCTTCTGTTTACATCACTGTAAACAGTGATAACAGGGTAAAATGCTAGACTCGACATGTAAAAAGAAATCGCGTGTAGTCAAGTAGCAACAAATATTACTTTTAAAAGATACTGTTTTAAGAGCTGTGGAGATAACAAGTAGGCATTGTCGGGCACTTGCTGAACAAGCCTGACAACCCGAGTTCAGTCCCTGGAATGTACATAGAAGTGGAAGGAGAAAGCCACGTCCACAGGGTTGTCTCTGGCCTCCATGTGCACACTGGCATGCACCCTGAAAACACGGATCATGCACACACATAATAGTGTGGGTTTTTTTTTAAGTCTTAAAAATATGAAGCCAAAAGAAAACTAAACTCGTTAATCTGATAAAATATATTACTACTTTAGAATATGGTGAAGTAGGAACAGTCACCAAACTCGGTGGTTTTAGAAACGTTTCACAAGTGGGTTGTAATAGTCATGCTTACTGAAACTTTTTATAACAATTTTTTAAGCATGTTGTTAAAAATTCTTTTCAGGCAGAGGACGTAGCTCAGTAGTACCGTGCTTGACTAGAATGGACAAGACCCCGGGTTCAGTTCCCACCACCACCCAACAAAATTCATTTGGTAATCATAGTGGCAATTTTTTTCTTGGCTAGAAATATCTTTTATCTAATGTGTTCATTTCAGCTTATACTTAATACAAAATAAAATGTTTGGCATTCACAGCAGAAGTACTATAACAATATTAAAACTATGGCTTTCATGGTGTAATACTTTCAGATTAAGCTGTTAATTCTAGACTGGTCTGAATTTATTTTTGCCATTGTTTCACTCAGTCATTGCCAAGAACATCTGTTGTTACTGTAAAATTATGCCCTCCCATTAACAAAAGAGTACCTAAATTATTGTATCAGAGCACACAACCCAGAGGCTCCTAAAGTCCCTAGCTATTAAAGCTGATGTCGGAAGACAAAACAGACGCGGCAAGAATAGCTTTGTGAATCAGCTGCTTCAGAGCTAGTAAATCACAGACATACCTTCATTACTCTGATGTGCATGAGCTTTTATGCCCAGAGAGTTAGAACATAAAACTATAAGCTACATCCAGTTTTTTCCTACACAAATAAGTCATTAGCTCATTTCATACCTTCTGTTAACTTAGATTATACTTTTAAGAATTAAAGTATGTACCATCGTAGCTACTTTGCTTAGTCGCTTTCACTTTTTTTGTTTACTTCTGCAGCTTTTCTGCAGTTAGATAAAAAGGGACCACAAAAACATCACTTTGAGCAGCCTTCTGTAATGCCTAGGAAAAACTACTCTTTCACAAGAGAAGAGGTGAGACAGATTGATCGGGAAAATCAGAGGCTTTTGAAAGAACTGTCAAGACAGGCTGAAAAACCAGGAAGCAAAAGTACAATTCCCGGAAGATCGATCGGCCCTCCCCCTAAGTTATATCATAGTGCTCTCAACAGACAGAGGGAACAACAAAGGATTGAACGAGAAAATTTGGTAAGTAACACATCTTTTAGTCATCAGAACAATTGCATTTGTACTGACTTGTAAATACAATGAACAGAAAATTAAGTAAAGCCAACTTTTCACATTTATTTACATAAATGCAGTCATAGATAACACGTGCATAAACTGTGGTAATTTGTGAGTCTAGAAGTTAACCATGTCTGTCTCTTAGCCGACAGAGTGTGTACTAAGGGGTCACTAAAGGAAAATACTGCAGGAGGTAAAAGTTGACATGTCTCAGTGAGCTCGAGGCAGCCTGGTCTACAGAGCGAGTTCCAGGACAGCCAGGGCTGCACAGAGAACCCCTGTCTCAAAAAACAAAACAAAGAAAAAGAAAATACTAAAAATTTTATAGTTTCCTGATTAGTTAAATCACTATACAGTCTCAGCACACGGTGCCCTGGAGTCAGATACACATACTCTTCTGTAATGTATTCAGTCACTAGAGCTTTACCCCATCATATCCTGGAAAGTCCATATAATTTATTTGGTACTCATCTTAAAATGAGTGCACCATTCATAGTTATGAATTATATAGTTACATCAGTATTTTAAAGAATATATACATAAGATTGTTGAAAATGTCACATTTAAACTATTATAGCATATTTTCTTCAGTAAAATTCAGCTCATAGTAATTGCTATATATTGAACTTACTTGCTGAACACTAGGCCTTGGTCTAAATATCTTTCATATATTAGTTTATTGAATCTAGGCACTTTTAAAAAGGTATTATACACATGAATAAGCTAAAACCTAACAGGTTTAAATAACTACCCAAAGGGCATACCTGAACCAAAGTCTTAAATCTATGTAGTCTCTTAAATAAATAGAAATCATAAACTAAAATTAGACCTCTGTAAGTTTGTAAGTTCAAACTCAAATGAATATAAAAGCTGTGAAAATCATGGCAGTTCCAAAATTGACCTTCATTAGGCTTCATTACTGTGTGCTTCTGTTTAAACCTATATAAACCTGGCCTGCTAACAGATTCAGTCTTAATACCATCACTAGCCCCAAGATAGCCAAACACTTGAGAAGCGGTATCCACACATGCAAAGGTGGGCACCGTGACGTGACGGACATGCGTGTGATACACAACAGCACCTGTGTCGTGTCTTCATGGGATTGACTCAGTTTGTGAAAATGTGGAATTACTAATGTCATAAACATCAGTGTTTAAATTTTGATTTCATGTGTCCATTTGTCTCTGAAGCCTGTTTTAATTGATAATCATATGCCTCTTTTTGTAAATGTTGGTCATTTGATCCTCATGTGGTATGAGATGGTGTGTCATAGAAGAAACGGAAGTGCGTCAGGTCAAACAGTGGGTAACAGAGCCCAGATTCAGGTTTAATTCTCTGTCTTGGGTTTTTTAAAAACAGCTTTAATTTAAATATAGTTTGTGTATCACATCTACTTTAAGGGTACAGTTCACCAAGTTTTATTATCTTGTTTTTGCTATAACATTTCTCCATTCCCATTTCCCTCTAGCCCTTGAATCATTTTCTGTCTTTATGCAATATTTCTCTTTTTGTAGCTAGCTTATTTCACTTAATGTGTTTTTAAAATTCATCCATATCGTGGCACGTATCAATACTTTAAAAAATAAGGTTCATGTGCCTTTTCTGTGTAAGGATGTTTGTCTATATGTATGTATGTGCATTGCATGCGTGCCTAGTGCCCGTGGAGATCAGAAGAGGGCATTGGATCCCTGAAACTAAACCCAGGCCCTCTGCAAGAGCAGCTTTTACAACTGAATAATATTCTACTGTAAGTGTATACTGGTCTGGTTATTCCATCTGCTGATGGGTAGTTTCTGTCTTGGCTGTTGTGGGTAGTCCTATAGTGAACATTAACGTGAAACTGTTAGTCTCTGATTTCATTTCTTTTAAGTGTTTATGGAATTGCTGGATCATGTACTAGAAATTCTGTGTTTGCTTTCTTGTTTTGTTTTGATTTTGAGATAGTGTCTCACAGTGTAACCCAAGCTGTACTTAAACTCCCCATCCTCTGTCTGCCTTCTTCCCAGTGCAGGCAATCAATACAGGTCTGTGCTTCTGCTGTGCTTAGCTTGTTAGTGATCCTGGACTTAAAGTTGGAAACTCTCAGTCTATTAGCATCTGAACATGTGTCATATTCCTATGAATATATGCCTAGGTGAAGGCTGTCAGCAACTTGTATTTACAGCTTTCATTATTCTTCCAGGAATGAAACTTTAATAGCAATGGGAACTGCCAAAATTTTATCCTTATTTGCTCCATATACATTATAATTTATATATGTAAACAATTATTTTTCTCCAGTTGATAATAACTTGCTACATATCAGAGAAATTGTAAACTCTTTTAAATAATATTTTGCTTAACTATGATGTTGCTATTCTTCTGTTTAATTTTATTTGTTCATTCCTTGGTTCTCGAGGTCAAATCCAGGGCTTACAAATGCTGCCATTGAACTGTCAGAAGTACAGCCCCACCCACAAAAGACTGTCATTTCAGCATGTAATCAGCATTAGTGACAGATAGCTTTACTTTCCTCTTTGATAAGTCTTTGATATATAACTACATATGACTAATAGTTTTGAACAGCACTGCACTGAAATGAAAGACTAATACAGAGTGAGAACATGTAACTTAAAGCTAAACAGAAAAATGTACAAAATTTATTATGTTACTGTGAAGAAAGCTCATCTTTCCTATTGAATTCTCCTTTCTTAAAACTAATTTCATAAACTGGGTGGTGGTGGCGCATGCTTTTAATCCCAGCACTCAGGAGGCAGAGCTAGTTCCAGGACAGGCTCTAAAGCCACAGAGAAACCCTGTCTCAAAAAACAAAAACAAACAGAAAAAAAAAACCCAAAACTAATTTCATACCTTCTCATAACTTTTGTATACTTCCTTTGCATTTGTTCCTAATAATGAACTTTTTTTGGAGGGGGACAGTTAGTTCAAGACAGGCTTTCTCTGTGGAACAGTTCTTGCTTTGTCCTGGAACTTGCTTTGTAGACCAGGCTGGCCTCAAATGCACAAAGATCCTTTGCCTCTGTCTCCCGAGTGCTGGGATTAAAGGCATGCACAACCACCACCCAACTGAGACATTTTTCTTAATAAAATACTTCGTGTTTGTTGCAATTGTCTTTGATTTACATTTTAATCAGAATGTTTATCTGGACACAGTATTTAATGAGAGGAACGCTAATGAAGACCATAAAGTACTGTGCAGAAAAGGTGTGAAGGCTATATATAGCATGGAGCCCTGGATTAAAAGCAAATTGTTAATGTATCCTTTTAAATTTCAGGGTCCTTAGAATCTTTCAATGAGCAGATATTAGCATTCCTCTCATTAAATATTGTATACAGATAAATATCAAGGAAGTATAGAAGATATTAAAGTGTTGTTGGTTGTTCAGTCCCTAGCAACAATAAGGAAAGGAGGAGGGACAGAGAAGAGAAAATATGTGTGTGAAAGTGGTTTTGTTCAGCAGAGGGTGTGCTTGCTTCCTATTTCCTCAGTTACAGCAAGACTATTTCTAAAACAGTGACCAGGTTTTTAAGTCATGAATTTTGAAATGTTCTTGTTAAACGATGGATGAATGGATGGATGGATGGATGGATGGATGGATGGATGGATGGATGGATGGGTATCATTTGAACATGATGTGTATCCTTTTTGCTCAGAGAAACAAAAGTAGCCTTAGCAGAAGAGTTAGCTCAGTAAGGGTACTTACATTATTTAGCTTTACTGTCTAGTGAGATTACTTCTTAAGTCTACAACTTAAGTGAAATTAATTTATTCATTTTTTAATTTTGCTTTTTAAGGTGTGTGTGTGTGTGTGTGTGTGTGTAAGGGTTTTATCCAGAGAAAACAGATAAGTAGACAATAAAGAAGACATAATTTTTCTCCTTTCAAGTTTTCCTATGAATATATATTTTTAAAGCTACAGTAATGTGTCATAAACTTAGAAGTTTCAGATCTTAAAAACATACAGTGAAAACTGCATCTGCTGACTGACCGGAACCTTACACTAAAATCTTGGAATAACTTGTAATTCATGTACTGTTATTTTCCTCTTCTGTGCTTATCCTTCCATGGCAGACAGAAAACTGTCTATAGGCCATGTGACTCTACCCGGGAAAAATGTGACAGACCTTGTCTCATCTCTGTTTTCCCTAGCTTTTGGATACTTTTAAAATGACCTTTCAGAGTCTACCTCAACACTTTGAAAACAATGAGTGATTCTCCGCTACATCTGCTGGATTGTTAGCATTCAGTCATCATTCGTATCAGAAGACGAGTGGGTTAATTTTTTTCAAGAATACTTCCTGAGAAGTATATAAAGGAAATATTCAGACAAACATAAAGCAGAAGTACCACCTGTCACTGCTTACAGTAGGTCTCCAGAACTTTCTTAGCTTGCATACCTGAAACCTGGTAGACAGTGTAGTAGACTATAATTTTCACACACAAATGGTTACTGTGAGCTGGTATGTTGACTAGTGTAACTGTTCATTTTATAATGTGTATGTATAAGAAAGCACCATTGCCTTGATAGATGTAATTTCAAAAAATACAACTTTCTCAAGAAAAGTTTTGGAGAAATTATTTTGAACTTCATTCATGGAGTCTGGTTTGAATGGCAGTCTTATGGTTTTATAAACCATAATTTAGATTTTAGAGAACTATTCCTATCATTTTGATTATTAAACAGTAGTAATGTCTTATTTTCTATGAAGTAGTAGAAAAATGTAAAATACTGCTGATTGTTATATAATTTATAACCTAACCTGAAGATGATATGTTGTTGTATGTCAGACAATTAGAAAACTGTACAAAGCAATGTTAATGCTAACAAAATTCTTACTGCATTAGATTTCAAGCGGTGTATGGGTACTTACGGGTGCTGTGTGTTACTTCACTTCTATTCTGACCCTAACATGCCTACCAAATAGTCTGGCTAAGAAACAGTGCCTACACTACGCTGTAAGCCCCGGTCTCATTGCAGGTAATTAATAGCATGTAATTATGCATCAAATACATAATGATTAAATTAGAATAAGTAGAATTTTGTTCTCTTTAAAGAAATTTCTTTGTATTCTAGGCCACCAAACTCGTCCAGTTCTTTTTAAAAAAATACTCAGCTTTTATAAATGACAGTCCTCCTACTGTTATATAGAACACTAAAACTTACCGTCTTCCTTAAGTTTATTTTAGTACCCGGTAACCATCTGCCACTTCTTCCCCCGTCCACTCTTCCAAGTCTTTTAGATGCTTACATCTTTTGTCACTCTGTAACAATGTTATAACATTTTTTTAAAGTTTCATGTGATTTGGAAAGTTGCATGTTTTCTCTATTATTTCCCTAAGTTTCTGCATAAGTGGCCTATCCATCAGAGTACAGAATGAGTTGAGTTTTATGGGGCTTTTTAAAACTTTATTGGAAAATTATTTAAAATTTTAATATTCATTATTTTTATAGTGTTTTACCTCTGGTAGATACGCACTGAAGTTTTGTTAAGATTTAAAGAGTTCACCCAACTAGGTGAATAAATTCATTAAAAACATTACTATTTTTCCATACATGGTCTAATGAATCCCCAGCAGTTCTAGCTTCAGGTTCTTTGTGCATGCTAAATTTAGAGGTTAAGAACACTTGAAGCCAGGCAGTGGTGGCGCATGCCTTTAATTCAAGCACTAGGCAGAGAGAGGCAGATCTCTGTGAGTTTGAGGCCAGCCTGGTCTACAAGAACTAGTTCCAGGACAGACTCCAAAACTACAGAGAAACCCTGTCTTCAAAACAAAACAAAACAAAAAACACTTGACTCTGCTGCAAAGGACTCAGGCAGAGCTAGATTCCCAAACCACAGCATTGTTTCTGTACTAGAAAAAAAGGAAGAAAAAAAACACACTTATATATATGTACACACACAATTTTAGCAGATTAATTGAAAATGTCAAGATTATTAGATAACAGATTTATCTTTTCCAGTAAAATGCTTTGAAAACATAATGCCTACAAATTTTGTTATGAAAGATCATCATTTTAGGAGAATTTAGCAGCTATTGTATAGCTCCTCTTCTACAAAGAAAGATGCTGTGTTATTTTAGAAAGTGTATAGAAACTACATTCAGATGGAGCAGAGCCATAGCCTAACAGCGCAACAAGAACTAATCGTAGCTGGTAAGACTACACTCAGGAGTGGCTGCTTTTCTGGCTTCTGAAAGGAACAGAGGATCCACCCCACCAGCTGACAGCAGTGAAGTACTGGTTGTTATATCTACTTCACGTGTCAGTCACCATGCTTGGATTTCTAATAGTACTTTGTTTCTCTCTTTTCTAAACAATGCTTCCCCTGAATATTTTGGCTTAGTTTATTATTGTTATGCCCAGATCACAGAGTCCTCCCAAAACCAACCAAGAGACCCAGTCCTGTATGTAAAATTCTTACACAAGTTTACAAACTCGGACTCTCTATGTGTCCGTTGTATTGGAGTGGTTGGAGAGCCCCAGCTCATTTGCTGTTGGGTTTTTGTAGTAGCAAAGGTGGAAGTGAGGAATTTCTAAGGTTCAGGACTCCTGATTGGCTGACATTTGTCTAGGAGTGTCCTAGTATAAAAAGCAATGGTTGTATACTGGCAGGTGATCTTATCTATGATGACTGGAACATTAGGAATTTCCTTTGAATGGCCTGTACCTGGGTGGTGCCTGGGTGGTCTCAGTTTGTGGTCTTAATTGGAACCAGCTATTTCCTCAGGGTAAACTACTGAGACTCAGGGCTCTATTGAGCTTGTCATGGCTGGGTCCTACAATTACCGTTTCTGCCTTCAGAATGGCTCAGACGTGTTGATAATGCTGGTTGGTGATGGAACTTTGGGATCCGAGGGCGGAAGGGGAGCTGATGCGAGCAAAGCACTAAGCTGAGGAAGTGTCTGGAGGGTACAGTGGAGCTGTAAAGGTGCTTAAGCTGCAGAGAAATGATTGGGAAGAAAACTATCCTCACTCATGAGACTGATTTTATAAATGTCTTAGTGCTATCGACAGACTCTTAAGATAAAAATCAGTTTGCACCAGAAAGGGTCATATGTTTTAAGGAACTAGTAAAACAGAACTGCAAATCAGTTCTGTTGGAGACCAGCTTCGACAAAAATACCACTTACCAGGGCAGGGGCATGGGGATTAGAAAAACAGTAACGAGAACAAAGACGCAAGTAAAAAATAATAAAACAGAAGCATAGGATACCAGGAGGGAGTTCCAGTGAATACTGAAATCCCCTGTGTTTAATTTTCCATACATTTTCATGCCCCAATATGACAGGGAAGAAGACAAAAGGCTGCTGCGATGTGACACCAAGGACAGCTAGAAGAGCTACTGCCTCCCTATGTTAGGCCATTAGCATTCTGTTCTTTAGGCAGTAAACCAGCCTGGACCCTGAAGCCAGCCACTCCCCAGGTCAATCCTCCTGTCTGAAAATACGGAGCTGGAGTACGCTTGAATATCCTGACTGTTGGTCAACTGCCCGAGCCATCTTAACGTCCAAAGGACCAAGTAACCACACCCTAGGACTGGACGAGTAGGCCTGTTGTTGTCAACAGTTTTGAGCAACCTCAACCTCTCTGTCCTTCAGACAAGGTGGAAATGGGCTCACAGGTTTTTGGGGTTTTTGTTTGTTTGGTTTTTGGACCTCCACACAATTCCCAAGCATTTGGTCTTCCTCCGTGTTCCTTTCTCAAAGACCTCTAAAAATCAAAACTTTTGAATTTTGAGTTAAGAAAGAATGAGTAGGGCTGGAGAGATGGTGTGTTAAGAGCACTTCCTGCACTTGCAGAGGACCAGGTTCCGTTCCCAGCCACCAATGGTGGCTCACAACTGCCTATAACTTCAATTCCAGGTGATCGGATGCCATCTTCAGGCCTCTTTAGGCAACAGTAAATACATGTCATATACATACACTCCAGGCACACACACATACATGTAAAATAAAGAAATATTAAAACAAATAAAACTAGGAATAGTTATATAGAGTTAATCATAGTAAAGAATATGCCTTCTTATTGGCAACTATGTTGCTTTGGCCTGTGGATTTGTTGATCCTCTAAAAGGCTTTGTATTCTTTAGCAACTGGTTTTTCTAACTTCTTAACACTTTTTTCTATAGTAAACTTCACTCAAAGTCCTAAGTATGTAAAGGAAAAAGTACAGAAAACAACTAGGCAGTCGAAAGTATGGATGGGGCTTGAGATCAGTGCTCACACAGCCTTTCCTTGGTGTTCTATGTGAGGCATGGCTGCAGTCAACACTTCTGCTCTCTAATGTGTATAGGTAGAATTTGTCATAACTTTGATAATTGGTGGTGATTTCAAGGTTTACCTTTGGACTGTTAGCATTATAACTCCTATGCCTGACATTAATACGAGGAAACCAGGTTTCCTGTATTTGCTCTTGTAGTCCCTTTCCAAAGACTGGCATGTCTGTGGGCTGCCTGTGAGATTAACAATTAGGAGAGGAAAGGATTACTGACTCGGGGTTAATCGCACTATTGCTTTTGGACTTATGACAGGTAGAGAGAGACATGATGGTAGAAGGGCGTGGTGGAGGGAAGTTGCTTATTTCATGACAGCCAGGAAGCAGAGAGACAGAAGAGGGGGCTGGGGACCAGGCCTCTGAGGGAAACACCGTACATTCAAGCTGCAGATGTTGTTTCATCACAGTGGGGTGATCAGTGTATGCGTTAGGAAAAACCTCTTGGTTTTTCTGAAAATGGATTGCTAATTTTAATCATATCATTTATCCCTTCCCGTTCTGCCCTTCAAGCCCATCCAGATAAAGAGAATGAGTCCTCCTCACTTTTTCAAATTTATGGCCTCTTGTTTCATTACTGTACACACACACACGTTTCTAAATACAGCCTACTCAGTCTGTATAATGCTACTCGTGTGGATGTTTTTGGGCTGACCATTGGTTTTGGATAACTAGTTGGAGTGTTCTTCCCTGAAGACAATTTCACCCACTCCCGGCGTTCCTTAGCTGCCTGCAGTTTCTGTGTAAGGGTGAGACCTCGGGCTTTTCCTGTCCACTCTGGTGTATTTATCGTTCTTGTTGAGCTCATGTTAGGGAGGCTCTCTCTGCGCGTGTAGTGGACATTGCTGAGAGACAGTCTCACAGTCTTACCAACCCCCTCCCCCCAGCAGTGTTCCCTGAGCTTTGTTTTGTAGATGTATCTATTAGGGCTGGGCTCCACAACCCTACACTCAGATTGGTTGTGGTTTTCTGTAAAGTCTTTTCTGTTGCTCTTGAAGAGGGGAGATTATACTTCTCTGTGGGTCTATGAACAAATATTTAGGGTGGCCATATATTCTTCAACCCAGATCAGAACATTTTTGGCATGTGTGGAGTGACTAAACACTGTTTTTTGCTTAGTGAATTTCAAGTTATAGTCTATCTGGCCTCTTGGAAATTATTGGTATTTATGTAGTATTTGTAATGGTAAAAATAAAACAGTGCTGTTCCCCGCGTGGTGGCAGTGGGTCACTGGGACACTGTGGATGGTTTAGGGCTGTGGCGGTGGGAGACCATGGGTGGGCATCGGCGGGGCAGCCTGTCCCACAAGGAGCCATGGCTGGTGAGAGACAAGAGACGGATAAACACGCCATGCAGAATGATATTTATTTAGTGGGTTATGGAAGGAAAGGGAAGGGGCAGAGGGAGAGAAGGAGAGAGAGAGAAGAGGAGAGGGTGGGAAAGGAGAGGAGCCATGGCAGCAGCCACATCTTCAAAGAGAGAAGGGAGCTCAGGCTGGAAGCAGAAAGAAGGTCCCCTTGCCTCAGCTGACCAGGTTGCGGGGGCAGGACATGTCTCTTAAAAAGACAGGACAGATCATTACAGTATTAACTTTCATTATTTTTGTGAAGGCTTTATTGAAACGGCTTGAAGCTGTAAAACCGACAGTTGGCATGAAGCGCTCTGAACAGCTGATGGACTATCATCGAAATATGGGTTATCTCAACCCTTCAACATCCATTAGACGAGTGAGATCTACTCTTGGCCATTATAGCCCACTGAGTAAGACTATCAAAGCTATTTTCTATTTATTTTTTGAGTCTTTTAGTTTTTTAAAATAAAAAGTGTAATTTGTGTTCTTATGATAGAGATTTAAAATGCTAACTTTGGAATGCATTTTAATTTTCACGGGCATGTTCTTATAGTTCATTCAATTTCAGGCTTCATATAGAGAATGTAATGGTAGCATAAGGAAAAAACCAAAAGATAGAGTGAGTGAAAACAGCAGTGTTTTCTCAGACACTGGAGAAGTCTTTTAATTCCGTTTGTGTTTTTAAAGAATAAATTGATAGGCTAATTGAATGTGGCTGAAACATTCTCTCGGTTACTAATACCTTGTAACCCTTACATATATCTTTCATGTCCTTACTGGACAGCTAAGACAAAATCAGCAAGCTACAGCTGGAATTCTTTTTAGTGCTTGATATGTGATCAGTTACAGACTTAGCCAGCTGTGTACCCCAGAGTTGTAGGAATTTTAGTGCTGGGTATACAACAGATAGAAAGTCAGACCGTTCCTTTACCAAAGTGGATGCTGTTGCATCGTGTATATATTCTAAACTATATTTCTCTTAAAAAATTTAAGCTATTTTTAAAGAAAATTGGACCCTGGTAGTACTGAGAGTTCCCAGTGGTTATGTGACTAGTCATTGACTGATCATCTCACTCATTTTAAAACATGGGTTATTACAGTTACTTAAGATATGACCTTATTCTAGTAACTGATAGTTAGTATTGTGCCTTGATCATAAAAACTGTCAGTAAACATATAAATGTTTGTGCAAAGTGTTTTGTTCTCACTTGAATCACTTCAGTAGCTTTTAAGCTCCACGGTGAATCCTAGAGTACAGTTCTATTGAAAATCATCTCATTAGAGTATTAGACACATCTGGGAGGAGGAGGGACACCAGTCTGGACCTAAAATTAGGACAGAAGGTTTATCTGCTGATGACTTGCGCACTTGGCTCAGATAACTGAGACTGTTTTATCTGTGTGTGTTCAGGAGGAGCTTCCAGGACATCCAGTGCAACCAGTGGTTTCAGCTGTAAGACTGATCGGTCAGTGTTGGACGCATCCAGTGGCTTTTTGCTAAGACCGAAACCCCCGAATGTTCGTACTGCTTGGTTGTAAAACCTTTTTTTATGGTATACATTGTTCATCTTATTTTAACAATGTATTTTTATGTATTACTGTAACTTTGTAAACATCTGTAATACTTTTTTCAACAATTTGTACAATAATGAGTATAATTTATTGTTATTCAGTGCAAAATTGTTACCAAAACACACTTTCATGTAAAAATCAGTGTTTCGTATGGTGGCATGTGTATAGGAGCTCTGTGTGCTTAACAGAGAGCGGTGTTGTGCATGGCTCTTTCTCTGTGGAAATTCACTAGTGATGCTGACAGACGGGGATGATCCCTGTGGAGCCAGGACACTCACTCTGCTCTTACTCTGTCGTTTTCAGTTATTGTAAGCGTGAATGTGTGCGCCTCATGCTTCTGTGTCTTAGAGTGCCTGCCACGTGAGCCATCACTTGTTATGTGATTGTTACACTCCTTATGACATTTGTTTTCATGGACGAGCTGATTTCAATTTGATGAGGAGGGTGAGCAGTGTGTACTGGTGCAATTCCTGATTCACCAAAGGTTCCTCTCTGTAAGAGTTTGATTAGCCACTCCAAACCATGTCGCACTGGCGCACACTGAAGAGTAGGGGCTTTAGAAGCTCCTGTCGTGTGTTTTTATGCAGTCAGGTAGAATACTCAAGGATTCTGAGGAAAGAGGTGGCTTTAACAGCCTACTGTAATCTTGTGGCTGGTTTGTAGCTAGATCATTTGCATCATAAACAAAAACAAATATTTGTTGGATCAGTGAGCAATATTCCCAGCTTGAAGAACCAAGAAGCAGCCCCCAGGGTATGTTAGCAAGTGTCTGAAATGATACTGTTAGTGTGTGCTGTCATTGTGCACTTGCTGTATTAATAGAAGGTTAGAGTCCGGAAGAAAAACCGGACTTTAGAAAAACCAGTTATAAACAAGAAAAACTAATAGCACATTTCTTACAGCTACTGCCTTAAACATTTGTGAAATTTTTGGTTTGGTTTGGCTAAATCCTAGAAGCACCATTTTTACTAGTCTTACATCTGAAGGCCTATTTATCCTGATGGAATTGCTAGTGACACAGGACACATAGGTGCAATGTAGTTGACTATGAAAACTGAAATATGTTTGTGTCAGCCTGTAGACTGTTACTTTATGAACAAAGTGTAAATAAGTTTCATAGTCAGTGACACGTTTTTCTTGAAATAGGAATTATCCCCAGCCACAGTGAGCTCTGTCTGATTCCAGTGCTCCTGCAGTGTAGCGTGTCTGCCACACCTGTGTCACCCTTATTAGCACGAAGGCCGCCTGCACTTTACCAATGCCAGGACATCCGTTATTGGTCTTAGTTTAATAGGTTGTGTTTTAGATAGAGCAGCAAAGGTTGGGAATGATGAGGCTAAAAAGATTGCTGAGCACATGCACCACACACATATGGTAGATGTGCATACACCACACACATACACAAACACACACATACATATGGTAGATGTGCATACACCACACACACATATGGTAAATGTGCATATACCACACACATACACAAACACACACATACATATGGAAGATGTACATACACCATGCACATACACAAACACATAGATACATATGGTAGATGTGCACACACCACGCACATACACAAACATAGATACATATGGTAGATGTGCATACACCACGCACATACACCACACACACAGTGGATGGAACGCAGCATGACTGAAGGTTTCTCTGCTGCTCCCTGGGGACTGTAACATTATTTGAGATTTGTCTCTTTGTTCTAGTAAACAGGATTTTATAGCTGCTTTATATAACCTTCAGCTATATAAACAAAGGTTTTATTTTTGTCTGAATTTTTTAACTTTTAAAGTTAGTGTGACAACGAAGTGCAGCATTTTGGCATTTGCCCAATAGTGAGTCAGTCACATTTTACAATGTAAGTTTGAGGGGAAAAATGTGTATATATATATAAAACATTTTATGTTCCCAGTGGCATAGCCTGTGAGTACATTTTATTTGGTCTCTCCAAGTTCCATAGATAAAGCTGTACTTTGATTTTAAATGCTAATTTATGCCTTAGTTTTTACTATTAGAAAGAAGTTTGTCTAAGTATTAACTGATAACAGGGATTCAAACAAAGGGCAGCCATCTTTTAAAAACAGTTCACAGTGTTGTAGATGCTACATGATGACGATGGGTGGCTGGGCAGGAACTACAAACAGAATTCTCTGATGTGAGCTAAAGTGAGGAGGCATTTGTAGCGGAGGTGTCATCAGTACATGAGTCTCTCCAACTTCCCCAGCACAACAAACACCTGTGTGGAGGGCTGTGGTGCAGGTGCTGACTTGTCCTTTCTGAAGCTCCGCACCTGCAGCTAGAAAGCATGCTGGTCCGTGGCTAGTGGCCAGACCTCACTGAGAACTGTTCTCATCTCCGTCAGATGTCATTACCTCCTTTTCTAGTAAGAGTTGGTAAAAAATTCCAAACTATTAAAATTATTTCTTAAGAAGTAGCTCCTACCTCTTCCCCAGTTTTCTCAGTCTCCATTAAAAACTGCTCTCAATAGCTATTCCACTTAACCTGTGTGCTTTGCCTGTAAAATAAAGTCCTGCAGCTGTGTTCCACCCAAGCCTCAAAACGGATGGCGCAGCTTTGGAAGGCGACTGTCTAGGTCTGCTTCTCACCTCCAGATGGATGCAGCAGCTCCAGAGTATTAAGGCTGATGTAGAGCTGAAGATGAAACTTTACCTTAGTTAGCGATCAAACACTGTGTCATCTTAATATAAGTGACTGTATACCGTCATAGAGTGTGCTCACTGCTAATGGCCAGATTGCTTATGTTCATGAATAAAAATTAGCAAGAAACTTTTAAACCATCTTTCTTTAAAATGTTCTAGTTTGTCATTTTGGGGCATGAAGAAACTAGCTTGGCCTAGTGAAGAAAGAAAGGAAAGATTTAAGAGAACCAGGTTTTGATTGTTCATATTTTTCGAATTAGAATAAAAATTTCTGTGTACCCTACAAAACTACGAGTTAGAATGAAGTTGCCAGTTGGATGGTATTTTTAGTTAGTATTTTTGAAAATGTGGTATTTCTTGGGAATATTTCTTTAAAATGATGCTCCTGGTCAGCATTTTCTCAAGCCATATGATTTGACTCATTTTGTAAAATTGCTATGATATATCAGTATAATGGACATTCTTTTAGAGCTTGAATGAGTGTTGCTATTATTGAGTTACTTTATTTTTACTTTTTTTGTTTTTGTTTTCAAGACAAAGTTTCTCAGTGTATATAGCCTTGACTGTCCTGGAACTCGCTCTCTAGACCAGCCTGGCTTCGAACTCAGAGATCCACCTGCCTCTGCCTCCTGAGTACTGGGATTAAAGGTGTGCACCACCGCTGCCTGGCTTTTTTACTTTGTTTTTAAAGCAGGCTTACTGATGCCCTTGGGCTCAGGGTGGTTGAGTACCTTCCCAGCATGTAAGCCTAGCAGGCAGGAAGCTCAGAAGTTCCAAGTCATCCCCAACTGAAGCGGTTCCAGGCCAGCCTGTGTTGTGTGATGGTGGACATGTCTCAAACTGACTGGAGCCACAGGTGCATAAACCCTTCTCTGCACAGATGAAGGATGCAGAGAACAAATGGGCTTGTGCTATGGCAGGTAATTTTTATTTCTAAATATAAAATGGTTTTTACGTTGTCCCCTAGAGGCAGAAGTTAAATCCCTATTGCTGGAAACACCTGCACATCAGACCATTTGGTCACCACACACTGTGCACGCCAGGCCCAGAGACCCCTGAGTTGGAACTGAGCTGAGAGCCTCCTCCCTGAGCACTAGCTTTCATGGTACCAGATGACACCATTCACGTTTCCAAAGGAAGGAAGCAGCCAACAGTCTTCCTCTGACACCGATAGACCACAACAATGACCAGGATGGCACGGTAACCCTAAAGGTGCAGTCGTGTCGTGCCTGCCTTGGCAATAACCATCAACTCTCTTAGTGGACCCACTTAGCAAGAGGGAACCGATGCCTGGTACAGGAAACCTAGCTGACACTCAGTGTAGTGACATCATGGTTATCAGAGGAGAGCCAACAAGACATCACTTTACTAAGCCAGCGTAATTCCTAAAATAAATATTATATCCTAAACATTTGCCCCCCAAAAAGAAAAAAGAAATCAGTGGCTGTATGAAATAGAAAGTCTTTAGAAATTCTTCATTCCCACGGGTGTCTTTTTCTTTTTAACTCTTACTTTTGCATGGTGTTTTGGCCTCTGGTACATGTATGGAGGTCAGAGGACAACTTCATGGAGTCAGTTCTCTCCTCTACTTGATGTGGGTTCTGGGAGCTGAACATTGTCACACATACCTGGCAAGTGACTTTACCCTTCAAGCCCTCATGCTGGCTCCCGGAGCTGTCTTTCGGAACTCCTTCCAAGACACAAATTATCTCAGCCTCTAGCCTTTTGTGAGGCTGAGTTGGAAGCTGCCACCTCCTGCTGCCGCTACATGCTAACTAACATCTGTTCATCACGAGAGCTCCAGAAACACCTCCCATAAAGCAGTCGGACAGGCCGACTTTCTGCTTGTTTGTATTCAGGGCTGAGCACAGGGAGTACAGAAGGATGGGCAAAGGTCGCTAGCCCCCGTCTCCGCTTGCCTCCCTCTCTACTTTTGCCAGTCCATCTTCAGGTATGCACTGGTTTTTCCTCACATGAGGTGGGGAAATGTTTGCTCTGCCTGGTGCCCCAGCTGCCCTCCTGCACTCTGTTGCGTCTGATTTGATCTCTACACTCTGGTCCTTCTGTCTGTGTGTTCTTTCAGTGTCTTCCCGGTGCACTGCTCTCTGATCCCCCGGGAGCAAGCGCTCCTGGACTGTCTGTCTGTACCAACATACACCCAGCCACAAGTCACGTGTTTTCTCCTTTCACTGCCCCTCTGTTTAGGGGCTGACTGTACTCTGTAAGTTAACACACCAGATTCTGATTGTCTTTCTCTTGTAACACTCCTATGACGTGACTGGAGTGAGAAGCACCCAGACTAGAAAAGTGTATTTTTTGGTCTATGCTGGTGTTTCGCAAAGGCTCTGAATGAATCAATCCCTTGAGGGACTCCTCTAAAAGGACGGCAGCACTGGAAGCTGGTAGAACATAGAGGATGTGTATCCCTGAGGCATGGTCTGAGCCTTGTCTTCCCCAGCCTCCTCCAGTATTCTTTCTTGCTTCCTGGTTACCACGATGTGGTCACTCGGCTCCACCACATCCTCTCCGCCATGGGGGACTGATACCTAGGTCCTGTGATGGAGAACTAATGCACTAGATCCTCTTCCCCAGGAGCCAGGTTGATTGTGGCAACAAGTGTCCACTTTGTCCAGGAGGGGACTAGGCAAGGCTGTGTGGAATGAGCATCTATTTCCCCTCCCCTCCCACAACTCCCTAAGATTTCAAAATCCTGTTGTTCTGGGTAGCCCTAACCGTCAACTTGACATGGTCTAAAACCATTTGTGGAAAGAAGCCAAAATGGGGAGTTATTTAGACCGCACTGGCCTGTGGGCACGGTGTGGAGGATTGTCTTGTCAGTTGACACAGGAGGGTTCAGCCCACTCCGGGTGGCACGTTCCCAGCGCAGGAGTACTGGGCTATGTAGGAAAGGTGAATGTGGGCCAGCCACAGCTGCGAGTTCCCTAGTTAGAGACAACGGTAATAGCAAACAAAGCTGCTTTCAGTTTCCTGCTTTGACTCCCCTCCGTGCTACACTGTAACCCTTTCCACCCACAGTTGCTTTGCCTCAAAGTATTTCATCAGTGACAGAATCCCTAGTGTCTTGGTCACTGTTCTGTTCCTGTCAGGAAACACCACGACCAAGGTGAAAGAATCATTTAATTTGGGACTTGCTTACAGTTTCAGGTGGTTAGTCCATGATCATCATTGGCAGGAAGCACGGTGGCAGGCAGGCATGGCCTGGAGCAGTAGCTGACAGCTTACATCTGATCCACAAGTTGGAGGCAGAGAGACAGAGATGGGGCCTGGCATTGGCTTTTGGAACCTCCAAGCCCACCTTCAGTGACACACCTCCTCCAATAAGGCCACACCTCCTAATCCTTCCCAAACAGTTTGAACCAACTAGGGACCAAACATTCAAATCTCTGCATGAATCTGTGCTTTCAAACCACCACACCTGGTTTACCTTCTTACTGCCGGTCTGAATTCAAATTCCTAATGACCAGTCTTAATCAAATGCTGTCTTAGGGTGACCAGTCCTGCAAGGAAACCCCATGACCAAGGCAGCTTGGGGAGGAAAGAGTTTATTCAGCCTCTGCTTCCACATCACAGTTCATCATAAATGGAAGTCAGAACAGGAACTCAAAAAGGGTGGGAACCTGGAGGCAGGAGCTGATGCCGAGGGCATGGAAGGGTGCTGCTGACTGGTTTGTTCCTCATGACTGGCTCAGTCTGGTTCCTTAAAGAACTCCCACCATCAGCCCAGTGATGGTATCACCCACAATGGGCTGGGCCCTCCCCCATTAATCCCTAAAATGCCCTACAGAGGTGGTTCACAACCTGTGGGTCTTGACCCCCACAGGGGTTGCATATTTAATTACAGTTCATAACAGTAGCAAAATTACAGTTATGATGTAGCAACAAAAGAATGTTATTGTTGGGGCCACCACAACATGAGGTCACAGCATTAGGAAGGTTGAGAACCAACCTCTACAGGATTGCCTACAGAGAGTCTTTGGAGCCTTTTTCTCAGCCGAAGCTCCCTCCTCTCTGATGACTAGCTTGTGTTAAATTAACATAAAACTAGCAAGTACAGATGCCAACGCCTTTTCTCTCCTTTGCATTATTTCTGACATGCTGTATGTGGCATCGCTTTTCATTATCTATTTAGAGATAGGGATTCTCTGTGTAGCCCTGGCTGGTCCTGGAACTAGCTCTTGTAGAGCAGGCCGGCCTCGAACTCGTAAAAATCTGTCTCTGCCTCCCGAGTACTGGGATTAAAGGTGTGTGCCACCACCGCCTGGCATGGAACTTTACTTTGATGACACATTGATTACTTCATTCTCTTGCTTTTGCATCCAATAACTTAAGCTGGCATCTGTCTGTTGTGAAGATTTATTATTCATGTGTGTTTGCCTAGTATAGGTATGTGTACCACATGCATGCAGGGATACCTAGGGATCCCCTGCAAGATATGTGTGCTTGAAACTGAATAGGGTCCTAGAAGAGCAGCAAGTGCTCTTAACCATTGGGCCATCTTTCTGTGTTTTGAATCTGTAATGGAGACTCTTGAGTCTGTGGGCCATCTCTGTGTTTTTTTTTTTTAATTTTGGGGCATGACATGTGTGTGCCATAGTGCACATATGATCAAGTCCAAGGACAACGTCTAAGAGTCAGTTTTCTCCTACCTTGGGAGTCCCAGGGATTACACTCAGGTCTTCTGGTTTGGCAGCAAGCACCTCCCTCTAGAAGATTTTATACTTTGTCTCCTAAGAGCTATGTCTACAGTTATGGCTTTGGCAAAGATTCCCAGAGGTGGGATTTTAAGAGTCTGGCATGGAATTCTAGGTTTCCACTTTAGTGTGATCCCCTTTTCCAGACCTTTAGACTTTGAGAGCTTTGTACAGTGACGTCACTTGCTTCCTTCTAGTAAATTCTTGTTGAGTGAAGTAGCTGTAGTAGGGCCAGCTCAGCAGGACTCTGGGGCAAAGAGCGCTGGATTTAACTTCAACAGGCAGGAGAAATCCCGAAAGCCAGCACTTGGGTCATGTGCATACTGCAGATGACGTGGCTAATGTGCAGTTTAACAGGCAGCCAGTTCCTCCACTCTGCTCCCCCTTGCATGCAAAGGGGGTGTAGGGGGGATGGAAACAATTCGG